CCCCAAGATGGTGGTTCACACAGAATGCAGGAAGTACATTTATAGATCCCAGTGCTTCAGAAGTGGCCTAATGCCCGTGGCCCCAATCTCGTGTGCATCCTGCTCTTAGTCAAAGATGGAGGAGGGATGGGCAAACAGTGGGGACAGAAGCAGCAGAAGATGGCTGGGGGACTAAAGAGATCATAAAACATGACTTGTTGCTTAGGGAGGCACTGATGACTTTGGTCACTCAGACCTTTGTGGGGAAAGATGTCACCTCTACCATTCAAGATGCTATAAGAGTTCCACACCCGTGTATTACCAGCAGAGTCGGGGTGTGGGTGACCAAATCACCCCCTTTACCTAACCTCTGCAGGAATGAGGTGCATTCCCCATTTCCCTCCCCCGTGGTAAGGATGTGAACACCTTCTTGATTTTGCTGATAACCTTTTCCGGGTGAATAGCAGCATACCCCACCTGAACCCAAAAGGCCCAACAGGTCACTAGAGCTCTATGAAAGGAAACTATCCTCAGGTTGGATCCCTGGGTCACTCCAGAGTGATCCTGGGCCTCTATCTCCTGGGTGATGCAGGAGACCCAATGGGCATTGAGCACCTCTTACATCTTTACTCCCTTACCTCAATTGTCAGACGAAGTAGAAAGGGACAATCTACTGATTAAAATCACCTTGAAAGAAACCCCCAAACCCTTAGGACAACTTTGGCCTATTGGGCTGTGAATAATCAGAGTGGCCCCCCAAAACTTCTCTCCAGCTGAGCCATTGTGAAATACTGTATGGGAGGCCATTTGTGACTTAGACCCTGTCACTGATCCTAAGATACAAGAAGCCGTCAGATATATAATCAATTTGAAAGAAGTGCAAAAGGCCCTTTGCAGTTCAGAAATAAAGTCCACTCAGTTTCTGACTCCAGCCCTGCTGTACCACAAATTCAACCAAGGGATGTCATTGTTTTAAAGATTTGGAAAAGGAACTCACACACCAACCTGTTAAGTAAATGAACTTGTGACACCTCAGCGGCTCCTATGATAAGACAGAAGCTGTTCCTAACACAGGCTTGTGTGCTTACCTGGGAAAATGTTTTTTTTGTGACACAGGCACAAAACCTTGGAGGCTTCTATGACATGGAAACCATAACACATTATTGAAAAGAGGTGTCTCAAACATGGGGAGTAGGATGTATCTTCTCTTCAGCTTGACAAAATACACATTTTCACCAGTGACCACTGAGGTACCATCTCTATGCTACACAAGAACTGGACAAGTGAGGTCCAAGTCTAACTGTACCTGGGGAATCACCTGAATTAAATCACTTTCTGAATTGATGACACCTCAGAAACCAAAAGAGACATTGCCATCGAAACTGGACAAGACATTCAATTGCTACCAAATTCCATGGTCTCATTAACTCATCTGGTGTTACAAAATAAGAGATTATTTTTTGCCTCAGGAAGGTGGATTTGGGCTCTGGCAAGTACCACCTGCTGTTTTCATGTCAGTGTGTCTGAACCCAGAAACCAGTGCTGATAGCTGATAAGACTTTACAAAGTAAATCTTTGTAAATACTTGGCTTACATCTGCTTCCCCAGGCAGTGCTGGGCTCTATGCCAAACTATGAGGCTTCCTTGACTAGCTTCACCTGGCTCTTACCATGATTAGGATTTTTGGTTGCTATATTTCTCCTACTTTGGGCTCTGATCTTCTTCATCTCCTGGTAAAATATGTCTCTTGGAGATAGAAACTTGAGATTAAGAAAATGCTGGGTCAAGGACTTAGGCTTCCCTACACCAGAGACTCCACCCTCACCCCACCCCGTAGCTGCCAGCATCCCCTCCACCAAGTCCAGGCAATCAGATACCTTTGGTTCCTGGCTAGGCAGGGATATTGTCCTACTCCAGCCAGAGGCATCTCTGGAAGATGGACCATCCCCCTTTATCAAATCCTAAATAAGATATCAGAGTCTCTGGAGAAGGGAATGAATGAGACAGGAAACAAGGAAGTAGGTGCAGGCACAGAGTCTTGCTCAGTGGGCAGTTACTCGACAACAGAAATTCCATTGGCATAAGACTTCCTGCTAGATTCTAAATATGGGGAGTAGTTGGGAATCTTGCTGGCATCAGGCCTCCTGTTCATCCACAGGTATCCCACCTGCATTAGTTTGGAAAACACAATAGTCTCCCTAGCCACAAGGGACCACACCTTGAGCAATGTGTACCTTGAGCAAGCCTTTAATTGCTTTTCCGGGAGGTGCACTAAGAAGAAAGCTGACCTCTACATTTTGCTTATTATGACTTGTTACCATATGTCCTCCCACACCCCTTAGCTGCATAATTACATGCTAATAATGTTGAATGAAGTTCCACAAGGGCCACCCTATTCTGAGGCACTGCATCCATAATCAACCCTACTTGTGAATATTAATATGAAGATCAACCCTAAATTTCATAAGGAGAGAAATAGAGACCACCCATAGGCAACCAGAAAAGGGTCTCAGAATAAAAGGAAGAAGAAACCATGCCATCCTAGCCTGGGGGATGTATTGTTGCTGCCCTTGACAGCTTCAACTGCAACAGCTCATCCTGAGTTCCTCCTCCCGCTATGCCTAACAACATAAATCACATAACCTTCTCTACATCACTTTCTCTAGTGCCAGCAAACCCTCACCCCAACCCTTATGCTAGGAAAGGCTTAAAAACTATTGTCTCTGTGTTTCTTCAAGAAGACAAATAGAGTTGATGAGCCCCCTTTTAAATCCTGTATTTTTATGTCATCTAACCAATCTCCTATAGGGACAGATCAAGATCATAACACCCTAGACAAAAGCCACCCATTGGCTTTCCTCCCTCTTTGGGAGCTCTGCCCAATGAACTTGTTGCTTTGCTCTCAATCCGTTCTGTCCATAGATTTCATTCTTAGAATTCATGAGACAACCCAGACCCATGCTCTGTGTTACAATAATCCACAGTCTTAACTGTCGAGCTGCTCAGCTTTTGAATAAACCCACTCGCAGCTTGGAATATGTATTTTTCACTTTGCAATAAAGCATTTCCTTTCTTCCTACACACTGGACTGTGTCTAGCCTGGAAAGAGAAGGCACTGAATTCCCCTTGGTGCTTCCTGCAGCAGCCCTTTCCTGTAGGTGTCCTGCTGCTGCTGAGCACAACACCAGAGGGCGAGGTGACAGTGAGAAGCTGCAGAGCTCTGAGAAGCAGGAGCCCCCTTTGTAGGTGGACTTGAGGCTGCTTCCTTTCTGAAGTTGAGACTCATGATTCACTGTGGCTGTTTCGGAGACAGTGGTTTTGGTTGGTTTATGAGTTCAAATGTGTAGCTTGCTGGAGATGGTCTGTAACTTGTTCATATGAAGAAAATGTATGAGGAATAGCATTAGAGAAAGAAGATTTAAAGATCTCCTGAGAAAGGGTCATGAAAGTGAGTCAAGTGACAGTGTCTAAGGTGAATATTCAGGTCTTGAAGGATGGAGAGTTTGCACACCATGAGGAGGGTACAGCTGGCCATGGTGGCTCCCCAAGTGAAATCCTTAGGTATCTTGCCTCAGAACTCAGGAGTGTCCCACTCTGAAAACTTGGATTCAGCAAGCTATCAGCCTGGCCCTCAAGCTTGTGAACATGTTTAACCTTCTGAGACTAAGTTTTTCTTATGGCCTCATGTGGAGCAGGCTGGTGTCTGAGTTCAAATGTTTCCTTCTATTCCCCTCTTGATTCCTTTGTAGAACGTTGCTTCCATATAAGTCCATTTTCCTCCTGAATTGAATAAGTATACTTCCCTGTAGGTATGTTTTTATTTTCTTGGGTGAAAGTGGGTAACTAAAGAAAAGGCAAAGAAAGCCTTGGCTATGAAACCAGCTGTCTCATCCCAAATGTCTGACCTCTGACAATATGAGGCACTGCCTCATTCCCTTCTGTTCCATTATGTCGTGGTAGTCTGGGTGGATGTCCTTTTATTTTTTTGGTACAGGTGATTAAACCCGGGTGCTTAACCACTGATCCACCTGCCCAGTTCTTTTTAAAATTATTTGTTGGGGAAAGAGTTGCACTAAGTGGCTGAGGCTGGCTTGGAATTTGCAGTCCTCCTGCTTCAGATGCCCGGCTGTGGGGATTAAATGCATGTGCCACCGCCTCTGACAAGATGTCCTTTTCTAAAATGGGATGTTTATCTCCATGGACATTGCTTCTGGAACTGCCTGAGTACACTTTGTTACCTCAATCACAGGGGCAAGAGACAGGAAGAGCCCACTGGGTATGCTGAGAAGACAACACCCGTTCTGAAGGGCTAAGATCGAATTTTGCTTAACCAATTAAATCCAAAATTTTCAATTTTATAATGATTTTAAATTATGTAATATGAGTTATCCATATTAATATAATATGGTAGTATTTTATAAGATTATATTACATATTGTATACTATATTTATCTTTTATAGGTGTTTCCAGACCTGGGAGGGTGGACCTAAATGGATCCATGCAATTATCCCTCCCGTTAGCTCAGATCCAGGCCCTGGGAAGAAGCTCAGGCTGGGAAGGGCTGCAGCTGGAAACCACCTCTTGGGTTCCATTCAGCCAGGAGGGAGATTTTCTTTTGCTGTCACTCAGGGTTCAGGGGCGGGTCCTGGATCACGACCCAATCAGAGGCATGGGGTGGGGCTTCAGGAACTGTCCAATCAGCAGCGCAGCTGGAAGAGGGCAGGAACCTTCCACTTTTGAACAGCTTCCTTCCTGGAGCCACCAAAGTAGGTGTGTCGCATGTGTTGGGAAGAGAACTTCGAAGTGGCTCAGCCTCCTCTCTGTGACCCCCGCCCTCTGCGGGCTGAGGCGACCCCGGAACCCCAGAAGGAGGGCAATGGTGAGTGTGGAGGGCGCCCTTCCCGGAAGGGGAACGGGTTACGGTGGAGGGAATGGCTGAGTCGCTGGGGAAGGACCCGGACCTCAGTCCCTAACCCCAACCCTAACCCTTCAAATACATGAAATAACGCACCCTGGAGAGAAACCTTATGTATGCAAGCAATGTGGACAAGGCTTTAGTACTTCTAGCCACATGAAAATCCATGAACTAATTCACAGTGGAGAGAAGCCCTATACCTGTGAACAATGGGGGAAAGCTTTCACTCATTCCTATGCCATCAGAAGACATGAAAAAACTCACACTGGAGAAAAAACCTTCATATGTAAGCAATGTGGAAAAGCCTTTAGTTCTTCCAGCTCTGTTAGAATACATGAACGAATTCACAGTGGAGAGAAGCCCTATGCTTGTGAACAATGTGGGAAAACTTTCAGTCGTTACAGTTCAATGAGAACACATGAAAAAATTCACACTAGAAATAAACCTTAACATATGTTAGCAATGTGGAAAAGGCTTTAGATCTTGCAGCTCCGTTAGAATACAAGAACAAATTCACTGTACCTATAGTGAATTCACTATAAAAATCACTATACCTGCAAACCCTGTGGGAAAGCTTTCATTCATTCCTATTTAGTCAGAAGACATAAAATAATTCACACTGCAGAAAATCCTTATGTGTGCAAGCAATGTGGAAGAGCCTAACCCTAACCCTGAGGAAAGTGATCAAGGTTTACTTAACCAAGAGTTTATTTTAGGAAGAAATAACTTGACCCTGAGGAGAAGGGGATAACCACTTAAGAAATATTAATGGGGATTCATTCCCTTCTGGATAGTTTTTGAAAATGTGAGTTGAGTCAGGTTTTCCAGATATCCTACTCTGCCTATCCTGCCTGGAAAAACAAAAGAAAATGGGCTGGGGATGTGGCTCAAGCGGTAGCGCACTCACCTGGCATGCGTGTGGCCGGGGTTGATCCTCAGCACCACATACAAAGATGCTGTGTCCGCGGAAAACTAAAAAATAAATATTAAAAAGAATTCYCTCTCTCTCTCTCTCTCTCTCTCTCTCTCTCTCTCTCTCTCTCTCAAAAAAAAAAAGAAAGAAAAGAAAAACAAACAAACAAAAAGAAAACACCCAACACTGATGAGTAACAATTTGTGCAAGGCTTGAGCTATAAAATATTAAAGTGTGATGTCCATTACTTTTAGGATTTTTCTTTGCTAGAGAAGCACATAACTTACAATTTTGGCCAGGCTTGACTTTTTCATGGATAATATGTGAATATATGAATATATGTGACTAGAGATGTGTATGCATCTGAAGCTAAATAGGTTTGTCTGAGTCTTCTTTAAAAGTTCTGTAAAAGTTTATAAAATGAAATTTTATATAGGTTTCACCAATAAGTGCTATCTTTTATATATTGTATCTGGCATAAAAGGGCCACACTGCCATTTGAGAAAGTGATATAAATCTGTCTGCTTTAAGTAAATCTAGTTTTGATCATTAATGCTGTTCCCTAAATGTATAAGAGATTTAAGGGGTTTTTCTAGTACTGCTAAACTCTGAAAACCTGTAATAATCTATGAATTTGGAATTTCAAACCTAGTTAATATAAGGACATCTGTGTAATCATGATGCTAACTACTAGTTCTCTGCATATTAAGTATACTCATGTTCTTCTAATATACAAGTTTTAAAATATAAAGCTTGATTTTCCAAGCTAATGTTCTCCAAACTAAAATTGTCTGAAATGGTAATTTTAAACTTAATAAAATAACAAATTTAGTTGGTGATTTCTTTATGTCTTTTAGTGTATTCTAAAATTACAACAGGTCTATAATAGGACCTGTTACTTTTTACACTGAGATAAATGTACTTTTAAGATAATGAGTGCCTGATCTGGTTAAAAGTGGATATTGTAAAACATGAAAATATTTTACCATTTTCCCACAAAAAAGGGTTAAAAGCTCTCTAAGCTTTTCTTGGATTCATATTTCAGATGTAATGATGTATTGTGTTATTTGTGAAGAACCTCACCTTAACTAAGATAAGGCTCTACTTCCCACCTTATTCCATCTTAGAATGTCTCCAAAGGAGGCTGGACTTCAGCTCATTTAAACCTGTGTTCAAAAAATTGTTTTTTGTTGTAAAGATTACTGTGATCTTGGGCTGGGGTTGTAGCTCAGTAGTAGAGCACTTGTCTCGCATGCATGAAGAACTGGGTTTGATTCTTAGCCCCACGTATAAATAAATAAATAAATAAACAAATATCCATTGACAACTAAAAAAATTAAAATTTAAAAAAGATTACTGTGATCTCAAACAGGATATAATGTACAATGAAGTAAAGGTTCAAGATTATAAAAGCATTTTTATTGGTTCATAGCTATTACATAAACTAAATATGTTTTTGCTGTTAATTTTATTTTGTATTGTGTTTTTCGGTGGTACTGCTTCTAAAGAAAAGGAAAAGAAAAAAAAACAACTTGGGTTAATTTGAGAGAATAAGTTATCACCTACAGGACAAATAGTATATAATGTTGACTTGCAATACTAATACTAACCCAATTAAATGAAAGGGGTAACTGTAAAATTATAGATATTACAGCTATAACCTGGGGGCTGGGATTGTGGTTCAGTGGTAAAGGGCTCACCTAGCACATGTGAGGCTCTGGGTTCGATCCTCAGCACCACATAAAAATATCATAAAGGTCATTGTGTACACCTACAACTAAAATAAATATTTTTAAAAAGCTATAACCTGTTATTCCCTCTTTAAGACTGGTAAAATTGGCTTGCTGGGTGTTTAAAACCAAAAATTTGAGACCAAAGTCAAGGAAGTAAAAGGGTAAAGGAAAAAGCAGCCAATATTTGGCCCTTGCCCTGTAAGATCAGCCAGCAGCCAGAGAATGATGGGGCCCCTCTAAGGGCTCTGAAACTCCAGTGAGCCAACTTGTCTGCACTAAGAGAGATGGAGAGGACCCTAGAGAACAGAGAGCCACCAACTGGTGGTGCATATTCTGTGAAGAGGAGGGTCACTGGAAAATAAAATGCCTGAAGCTTCCAAGAGAAGCCACATGTGTGGTCATCAAGACCTTATCCTGACCCATCCTGGCACATGGCACCACTGATAGAGGAAGCCTAAAGGAGCCAGGAGGCTTCACACCTTTCCCCAAGAGTGATCGCTGATGAATCTCAGCTGACTCTTAAGAATAGATAGAAACAAGGTCAGTATTGACCAACTTGGTCTTGAACACCTGAGCACAGTCCTACATGGACATTTAAAAGGAAAAATAATGTTTTTTTTTTAATGTAACTTAAGATGTACACTTGTGTCAGCCTACCAAAGTGTAAGTAACATTGGAGGCTACAAAGGAAGGATATTTATGAAAATACCTAATATTTGACTATCCCAAAGGACTGTAGGCTGCCTGCACCACTACCACCAATGCTGTAGCCTCTGATTCTGCTACTGCCAGCCTGAGGTCGCCTGGAGGTCTTCTTTCTGCATGCTGCTGCCACAGAAGAAAGTAGTTGTAGTTGGACACAATACCTGGATGCAACTGAAGCTGACACTGTTGCTGACTCCTGGAGATTTTGCCTGGTGACTCTGCTCCTGTGGCTGCAGTTGCAGCTCTAATGGCACCTACCACTACTGCTGACCCACCGCCTGCTGCTAACAACCACCCCACTACCGCTGCTACCACAGCCTAGGGGACTGCTTTGGGGGAGACTCCATGTTTGGTTGTACGTGGCTGCACTTATTTTGGGACACCAACCAGACCTGGGGCCTGGGGCCTGGGTGCCAGCAGGTTTATCACCACAAGAGCCTCTGTCTGCGGACTCCATCTGGGACCTTCAGATCCAGTGTTGGGGTACCTGTGGGTTTGGAGGAGTCTGCTGTCTTCCTGCTGAGAGTGCTGGTGGTTCTTGTCTTGCTGATGCATCTCTGGGTTGCTCCTTTGCATGAGTGTATCCCTAGTGGTCTCTCTGCAAATAGGAGCAGCATTGAGATCTTAGGACTGCAGCGTGGCTGAGCCTGCAGTATCTGAAGCCCAGATCGGTGGGCTAGAAACTGGGTTTGGGAGGGCTGATCTGGGTTTGGTGATCCCGAAAGACATCAGAGACAGGGTTGAGAAACTGTTGAACACTGACAGAGAAAGTTCAACTTTCCAGCAAGATTTATTTTATTTTTTGATTCACTAATCTCTGACATATTTAAACAGGATTTTTTTTTATGCATCAGTGTATGGAGGACAATGATATATGAATGGTGTTTTGCATTTTTGTTGTACTTTTTAATTTAATGTTTTTAATTTTTCTCTTTGTTCATATCCTTCCTTTTAATGTTTTTAATTTTTTCTCTTTGTTCATATCCTTCCTCCTCTATTTTCTTTAACTTTATCTATTTTAATTTTTTTTAGTTGTAGTTGGACACAATACCTTGATTTTATATATTTATTTTTATGTGGTGCTGAGGATCAAACCCAGTGACTCACACATGCTAGGCGAGCATTCTACTGCTGAACCACAACCCCAGCCCCCCCCCGCCCACCATCTATTTTCTTTCCAACTTTTCTCCAACCAACAGCCAATCTCTGTCAGCTCCTTTTCCACTCTTCCTGTGAATTTTTACTTTTAGCCTCTCTCCTTCTCCCTTATGAATATTGCTTACTACACTACCTCTGTTCTCACATCCACCATTTGAAGTTGTAAATTGTAACAAATATTCTGCTTGTGCTATAGATAGTTATTGAACTTATCATTTTGTTTTAATGTGAGAAAGCAGTAGACGCCTTAGTGGAAGCTATTGGGTTTAAGGCTATATATTGTGTACACTTATTCTGCCTTAGATCCATACTTTTAGATGGGAAAACACACTAACAACATGAAAAAACAAGGGAATAAAGTGCCCCAAACATACCAAGAGGCTTCAACAACAGAAGCCACTAATAACACAGTAGCAGAAATGTCCAAGAAGGAGTTCAGATTGTATATAGTGGAATTGATAAGGATAGTAAAAGGAGTGAAATCAAACAAAACATACAGGAAGTGAAAGACCACTTCAATAAGAGTTAGGGAACATGGAAAACAAAAAGCCGAAATCTTTGAAATGAAGGCATCAGTAAACCAAATTATAAATTCAATAGCAAGCATCACCAACAAATTAGGCCACTTAGAAGATAGACCCTCACTAAGGAAGACAAAATATATAATCTTGAAAGTAGAGTTGAACATGCAGAGAAGATGGTAAGAAACCATGAACAGAATATCCAAGAATTATGGGATAACATGAAAAGACCAAATTTAAGAATTATCAGAATAGATGAAGGAGTAGAGATACAAACCAAAGGAATGCACAATCTTTTCAATGTATGATAGCAGTAAATTTCCCAAACCTAAAGAATGGAATGGAAAATCAAATACAAGAGGCTTACAGGACCCCAAATGAACAAAATTACAGCAGACCCACGCTACAAAATATTATAAT